TTTCTCTCCTTGATTTTCTTTTAAGATGCCATGCGATAATAGGAGAGGGAGGAGGATAAATCAGCATTTTGCTGCGTTCCTGCCTCTCCACTTTTTACCTTTCCAAAGGCGAATCCAAGCTTGGCGAATTTGAGGCGCATATTCTACTGCCTACCCTACTGTTTACTCTTTCGTGGCAATGAATGATTTGCAGGGCTCCAGCAGGAAATTACTTTTGCTACCATGTGGCCGCCATTCTGACGTGACCCATCCACATTATCTACGCACCTCACGGTTGACAGAGGATGAGTTTAACTGCACTAGTGTAACAGGTGTCACCATGTCTTCGCTTTGAATAACCATATGATGGGGAGTGGTAGGGAAACGGTATAGGAGTCAAGTTGAGATAGACATGCAGATCAATGTGTCAATATTGTTTGCTTGTAGAGACAGAAGGCTAAATACAACTGTATCCGGTTATTCAGAATTTAAAGACTGCTGTACTAAGTAATTCAATGGATTGAATAAATTAATGTCTACCGCAATTATTTCATGCTAATTCACAAAACGCTATGCACCTATTTGTCTACCATTTGAAACCGTTCTCGAGATATTGCAATACGATAGTGGTTTATCCCTCGGTTCTAGTGGGGCGCCACTTTTGGACTTTGAATTAGCCCCCTTGTACCTCGCTGTGTAGGCTGGCCTTTTGGGCCATGTTAATAGCCCAGACACCTACTCTGCACTGAATATATATTCTGCCCGAGTACTTTGTCTTCTTTCGTCTTCAGGGAGTCCAGGGACGCTACATTAGTGGCAGCGGAAAGCGAACCCGATCTTAAAGGACATGCATCCTGATTTTTCACTTCTGCGTGATAAGCCTTCGTAGAGCGGAAGAAGTACATGTGCTACGGATGGGAGAATGGTGATGACCCCTAACAGAAGGGTTGATGTTGACGTCTACCTTCGGCATCTCTCCCAGTCCCGTGTTCTGCAGAAAAGCTATTAACAACTGAAGCGACACTAGCCGTGAAACATCCGGAAGTTTCGTTACGGATCTCCCCTATCGTCCTGAATCAAATCCCTAAACCGAACGAAACTCCAGGTCCAGTTAGGCCGCCAAGAGGGATCAGTGACGTTGAGGTCAAGTATCCCCTCAGTTGCGCGCTAAGTTGGTGACTGGCACGGTCGGCTCGTGGGTGTTTCCTTACTGCACCGACTACATTGTAATGGCTGACGCGGGAAGTCGATCTGCGGAAGCGCCCGGGACGACGCTCAAAAGAGGAAGGAGGCTATGTAATACAATGGTGGTTTATCCCTCTGCACTGGTGAGGCGCCATTTTCGTACTTGTACCTCGTTGGGTGGGCTGGCCTTTCGGGACGTGCCAATAGCCCAGACACCTTCTCTGCACTAAATATATATTCTAAAAAAGTATTTTGTCTTCTTTCTTCTTCAGGGAGTCCCGGGACACTACAACATGTTGGGCCGTTTTCGTAAGTCCAACACCACTTAATGTAAAGATTTGTTCATAATTTCTCTCAGCGAGGTGGCTGAAGACCATATCTGTGTCCTCCCAAACATTTCTTATGTTAGTCGTAAATCGTGCCTCGAACTTGAATAACTCCATAAGGTGTCATGGTTGACTGAAGGCACTGCACCTACACTTAAGTAAACATATTTCAGAATGGGTCTCGTAGTAAGGAATTAAAAGTATTTGCATTCATAGTAATGAGGACGACCAACAACACGCTAGTTTGTGTTTCCTTGCAAAAACGTATTTCAACGGCCATTAAACCCAAAAAACTGCTTTTAAGTAAAACTAAGCATGGGATAATCAAGTTTACCCGTAAAACTTCTAAAAAATATCACTTTGGATTCTTTATTGCGTATCAAATGATGTTCTTGAAAAATAGGTCCTTTTTAAGTTAGTGACTGTCTTCGCAACTCGAAGCAGCGAAAATAAGAATTTAACAAGAAAAATATGAACTAATTATAAATCATTAAGTCCGCAGATTTCGTTTGAACTCGGCAGAACAATTTCTTTATTGGCTCAGCAGCGTCTTACTTGGATTCAATTGTGTGTGCCTGGATTCCTCATGTGGTGGCGGATCTCAACGCTATTGCCCTGCATGTTGCTGGTGTTTAAAGTGGGTCAAATTCCTGCTCATTTCTTCAGACTTTCGTTCCAGGGATAGTCGTCCTGGAGTTCGCCCTCTTTTCCTCAAGTAAAAAAAATCTATTATGGACCCTAGATCAGGTTCTTGCTTGTAAGTAGCATAAGTGCATGGTGCCCTTGTTTTCTTTTAATTTTTAACTTGTATTTGCTTTGCATGTTGGGCTTATGAGATATGATACAGACTTCCCGTCCACTTTGTGGTTACCGTTTCTCAAAAATGCGTGCATCGGATTTTTCCTTTAGTTCCCTTGCACAGAATTGCTTTACGCGGTTGGTGGCATTTCTGTTCTATACGCGGGCTTCAATCTGTTGTAGAATCGCGATACTCGTAAGTTTTTTTGATGCACTCATCCACTTTCTTGAACATAAAATGCCTTGAAAAGAAGTGAAAATACAAAATTGAGCCCAAATTTGCTTGCCTCTGTAGTCCAGGCCTGCTTATACAGGTTGTTCTCCGCATTTCTGCATTGTTCTCGACTGTGTCATTTTATTGGAGGCTTCTCTGTTTGTACTGTATATTCACATGCATTCACGTTAGAAAACTGGCCTTGGCATTCATTAAAATATGAATACGATATTAGGGTAGCAAAAGCGCACATTTTAAGCGATATATGGGGTGGTATTTTTCTTCATTCTCAAGTATCGATTGGAAACCAAGGGGTGTTACAATGATATCAGCACTTGAGTACGATTTCAGTGGACTTTTAACATATCGTCATTAAAAAACCTCGGATTTTTAAATTTTTAGCTTGATCCGCGGCGTGTGGGTGAAGGTAGGCGGATCCATTCGAAGTCCCAAGAGAATATATGTAGACGGTGTGTCCCGGCTATCATCGCTATTGCTGTCGCTGTGAACTTTGCGATGGCAAAAGACGTTATGTCGAACGTTCTTGGTGAGTTTTTCCCCACTTATGCGGCTATTTCCATTACTACTCTTTTTTTCAATCGGAATATGTTGTTCCATTACCTAAACATTCATACTGTAGTGATATTTCTACTTGGGCTGAATATTCACACCTATTCACTCGGATCGACAAGTGGTCTTGTCAAACCACGGATCTGCTTAATCACGCGGCTCGATTAGACTGTAAACATCTATCTAGGTCAGCAATAAAGTACGCCTTACTTTCATATCCAACCCACTCTTCCTCACATTTGCCTTCTTTGAGGGAAGGGAATTAAGGGGTTCTCGAATTTGATTGGAATGTTTGCATCTTTCCTAAACTTCAGTGAACCTGGTCTCATTTGTTGGCATGATAGTGTTTTCTTATCTGTTAAAAAGGTTTGACATTTGCGTAATTTAGCTTTATCTCTTCAATTATCTTCTAACACTCATTGCCAGGTTCTCAGCGTAATGTCGATGACTACAATTCCGATGTTTTATTGTTGTGACTTGATGTTCTGACCTTCTAAACCCTTGCTCATGGGAGCTGAAAAAGTGTAGCCCTCCTCGGTCCATGCTCAACCTATACCACTTTTGTTGACTTAGAATTGGATGCGGTCACTTGCCATACACTAATTTAGGACACGTGCCGCATGCATGACACCGGGTTCAGATGAACAAGATTAGAAAGTCAAACATGTAACTTGTTACTGATACGTAACCGACGTTCTGTTTTATTATTTTGTGGGAATTCATGAAGCACGTTTAGTTTACCCAAAAATGCGCAGATTCATCCCACCCACATAGGTAGTTCGTATCTGACTAGTTAGTCCATTTTCATCATGCTTTGCACGATACTGATGATTTGGCAATTTCTAGTAGCACAAGGTGTGTGGATGCTACATCAACACAAAGTTGATGCATGTGTTTCTTTCCTAACCTCAATTGAGAGCGGAGTCTATTCATTTTCGGGATGTTTGACCACGTAGACAAATTGTTAAACTCAACATTATGCAGTCCAGCCTCGGCAAATAAATGATTTGGCACAAATTCCAAAGAAGACATTGCCATCTTTTTTAACTTTTTTCATCTTTCCGCCTCGAAGGCAATTAATTCTAACGTACCATACAGCCATGACATGTGTTCTTTCATTTTAAAATGATTGGCAATTCTAATTTTAAAGGCTTAAATGGACTTAATTTTTTTTCCTGGTCGATAGTGCAAGAGTTGGGGAGGCCGATTTTCGTCTTTGGTCTGGGTAATGGACGTGCTTGTTCCATGCTCGGTGATACTTTAAGGGGTTTTGGAGGATCTCGAATTCGGCTCTTTTCATTCGGCAAAATGTTATTGCTAGTAGCTTGTTCTTTAGAAAAATTTTCAAAATACCCGTGATACTTCTATATTCATGCAAAGTAACGTTAGGCTCTCATGTGTTTGCATCAAGGCAGCAATTGTGACATCGTGTTTCTCGTCCTCGAAACCAGTGTTAATTAGTCTTGCGCTACCCAGACAAGGTTGTGTTATCACCGTCATTTAACTGCATTACCTTGTGATAGCTGAGTCCATCGCTTGGCTTTGTATTAATTACGGCTAGTGTTAAGTGCACCCGCTCATTTGCTTTTGGGGATTCTCATCTAGGTTAATTTCCGTTACTAAGGTTAACAATAATTATCGTCTCTGCTTTAACTTTTCATCTTCTGTTGCCTCCAGATTATCCGTTCTACGTTAATCGTCACTGTTAGTGTATTCTCTTGATCGCTTATGAGGTCAGTGTGGTTTGACAAGAGGGACTTTGGAAATTTGAAGTCTGGTATAAATACAATAATACAACCCCGGTTTTGAGGCCTGTCTATGGGTATGGATTATTTAAATCTATCAAAAGCCAAAGGAAGGACTAGCAACAACTTGTGAATTCTCATGAGTGGTTTTTCTGCACTCTTTTGACGGTCTGTGTAGGATCTAGTCTATGTTTAGCGATCTGCTTATCTAAATTTGGCTGTTGGAAGTGTGAGTGTTAATTTTTTCCACATTTTGACTACATGGGAGATGCACTGAAGCGCCTTCGTTTGTCTTAGCTTTAGTCCTTCTTAATTTTATTTGGTTTTACTGTGTACCCCATAATCCATCTTGCCTCATGTAGATAGGGTGTCTTGGGAACAGTTGCGCTCCTTTTGCATAAATTGTGAGTCTCTAGCCTTCTTGGACTAAGCATCATGTGTATCTCGAATTCTTTTCCGGTTCACTTGCTTCTGCTGCTCTCCACCTCGGACTTCTTATTTTGGCTCTTAGCATCCGTAATCACCTATCATTCACTTGCATATCAATAGGTTAAGCAATTAGTTTTTTCCCCTTGGTGTATACACTGGATATTTTCACACACAAGGTGGTCGGCTTGACCTCACTGGAGGTGGTTACATGGGTAATGGGTACAACGATTCCATGAAGAAGCATTACGGCTTCATTGCTTTTCGTCCACAGATGTCCTTCAAGGTCACACAAGATACTCCTAATCAAGATGGCAGGAGCTCGGCTTGCTGTGTGCAGGCAACGAAGGCATCGAATCCAAGCCCGTGGGTAGGTACTCTAGGTACAGTACGCCGATAGAACACGTAATCTCGCACCGACACGTCAATTAAACGATGTAAACCTACCCATGACAGTCATCAAAAGCGAAGTATTATTTGCGATCCTGGGTTTGGTGGCTTCCCACCCACGGAAGGAGCATTTATGTATGTAAACATTTAATTAACATGTTCGACGCATTCACTAACCCTTTGTGAAACTGCCCATTGCCAATGCATTTCTTCCTGAATACGAAGATTTCTTATTTCTGAAGTCACCATAAACGTTGAATTTGAATGGTGCATTCCTAATGACAAATTCCTTCGTGTTTAAAGCTTCCAGATCCGTAGACACGTAGCTAGGTTTAGGCAGTAAATTTTTTTGCCTCTTTTTGTTGAACTTATATTCCCATTTCCATTTTTTTGAACCGAATGAAAATTTTTATTACGGCATCATAATTCCCAGCACGATTTTCTTACCTAAGCTCCCACACCGCAAATGTGACGTCTTTGTTTAAAAAGAAGTAAATTTGACCGAAATGACTAAAACCCATTAATGGTCATTCATGTCGTAATAGTAGTGTACCAAAGATGATTATTTTCCTCTGATAGGACACTTATTTGAGGCTTGAAGCCGGCCAAAGGGATGAAAATGTAGCTTTCTGCTTTTTGCGCGGTTACAGCTACTCTCAACCACAGGGCACAGTATTTGGATCCCTTTTCGGCACCCTTTTGGTGATATTTGGCATAGGATTGTTGGCCTACTCCTGTTTTCTCCCACGTCGTTGCAAGCGATCACCATCGGATGTAGACGAGGTTGACAAGGTTCCATCGTCGCCGCCGCCACCACCACCACCACCACAGGATTTTGTCACCGTGGGAGCTGGGCACCTGCCTTGGATTTGCACGTACCCACCTACCCGACTCCCATCCCAAAAGCTCATCCATACCCGGTGAGTTCGCTCGATATTTATCTCTGTTTTTATCTCAGCGTTCACCATGGTCACTCTTCTACTTTGCCCGTAATGAGTCTTTGTGTAGTTTGCAACCACTCAAATGACAGAACCAAAGGTACTACGATGAACCCACAGCTTTGAACGCTGCCTAGTGGTTCTGGTACATTCTGCAGACCTAGTTGAGATTCCTGGATATCACTCCCTCGACACACGGACTGTGTGGTAGAATAGTTGCAGCAGATAGTGTTTTAACGGTTGGGTGATGTTCTGTTTGCTAATTGGTTTTAGCAGAAGGATGCAAAAGCAGGACAGGGGAGGGAGGCGTTATGTTCTCAGACTTTAGGGGCACATATTAGTAACTTCTTTGAGCTTTCTCTTGATATCGCTCCGTCAGTGATCGTTGTGCTGAGTTCCATATTGAGACCTTGCTAAAAGTCGAAGCCTCCGTAGTGAGTCTTCGTGGACTCAGCCATTCACTGCAGATGCTTCTCCTATGTGGAGCTTAGGTTTGATGAGCGGCCAACAAAGTGGGGATTGTTGATGCCCTATGCAATGATCTCATTTCATCCAATTATCGCTGGGCGCAAGAAAACTTGCCTAAAGGCAGAGTTATTCAACAAAATTCATCAATTGCGCAGACTTTACGGGCCTATCGTCTTGCTACCGATCGTTCTGGTTCCTTTGTCTTCTTTTCAGTGCTGCCCAGTTGCCTATCCGGGTTCCATTTAGCTGCCAGAAACGCTAGGCTTGTGCGAGTTCCATTAATAAATACGGATGTAATAACCATTCTGCTCTAGGGCCTTTCAGACTCAGCCATCCACACCGTGTTATTTCTGCGATAATTAGGCCATGTTTTTTCTCTCACATCAAGAAGGCATCTAAATTCGACGCTTGCGGTGTTTTCTGTGAGTTCTAGTGGATTTGATGTACTGTGCTCCCACTGGATATTTTTCGGTCGTAATTGGTTCAGTGTAAACCCCTTGCTCACTCTCGCTTGCCTCTTGTCATGATGCAGGACTTGAAATAGAACTGGTTTTCAGAAGTCCTTTTGTTTTAAATCTGTGAATCTAATCTTTTCTTTGTAAAGTTCGTCATTTCCTCGACAACTAAGCATTTCTGCGCAATCATTTAGGACTAGAAGCCAGTGAAAGTGGTTGCGCTTTTTGATTCGATTACGTTCCTTTTAGGGCATTTATCAAAATAACTTAACTCCCATGACAATTTTTATTGTTTAAACTTACCTTTTAACTTAGGGTAGGTACGCATTTATGCTGATCCAGAAGTGGAAATTAGCAAACCAGTGTATCTGACTTGCACCAGTACCGCGCTACTGCTCCTCGGAAGTTGGCGTTTCGAAGGAGACCCCACTTTGGAGCTTCAGTGAAATTGGTTGCATTCGTCCTAAGAGTCAGAAGTTATCGGGAATGTATCGGACCCGGAGGTAGTTCTATTATTATTGCGTAGAGGTACTGCAGTATCTCAGTAGCGTAGGTGGACAAACTGCGGGATACTTGAAACCCATTTTCAGCAGTATATAGGAGCATAATTATTTGTCATTTAGCTACATTGTTATCCGTGCGATTTGGTAAATTTATACAATATGCTGCGCTAAGTCAGCACATCAGAAGCTTTTGTTTGCGCATGCATGTTTTGTCTGTCAAGGCTAAACAGAAGGCTCCGGGCTCAACCTAATATCCTTGGCATTCCTTAAACGCGAGTTAGTCATTGCTTACTAGCGCTTATTTTTTGCATGACTTTCTTTCCTTTTCCAACATCGTCTTTTTCTGCTATGGCTTTAATCCACCCTACTCTCTTCGATTGGCTGTGAAATTTCTTTTTGGCTTTATGGGGTTATTGTTTCACTAGAAGCATGACAAAACAAATGTGTCTTCTTTTCCTGCCAAATCCTGTTTTTTGGTCTCGTGCTCTTGGACTGAGACAAAATTGTTACCCAGATCCGTAAGCTCTATAAAGTAATAGCGCAGATAAGTGTTTTAAATGAATACTTGGATGCTATCAAACATTCAATGAAAGCTTGATCCAAATTGGGCTAGCGACTGTCGAGGAACTTTGCATATGGGTAAAATTCGAAAGGTACACGTTATGTTGACCCACTCAGAAGAGGAATTTCACAGCAAATCGGTCACGAGATGGTTTGATGATTATTTTGGCTCTCATTTTTTGCAATTGCTATTTGCTTCCGCTTTTCAACCGACTCAAATATATACCCCTATTACACTATGTTATAGCATTGTTTTAAAGAACTGAATTTCATTAAACGCGTTTGCTGTCAATCGGTCGCAGGAAAATTGAGTACCATTTATTTTTGTGAGAATGCCAGCTAAAGCTGTTTAAGAACGAATAAAATGTAGATATTCCCCGATCAAGAGTATCCTCCATTTGCCTTACTGTCTTAAACTCCAGCAATCTGTTTGTGGCATGGCTTGATGCTGCTAGTTATCGTTAAACTGAAAAGAATGTGTGTTACCTATTTGCAACTTAGGGCCCATGTAAGAAAGTCGGAACACCAAATGCACGTGGTTGTGTTAAGAGTCGAAGAAAAACACGTTTTGTTGATACTGCAGCATTGGTCATAAGTGGCGAATAAACCCCCCCCCCCCTCACCCTCCTTTTAGCCAAAACAGCCTTCATGTTATGCCACGCTGCTTTACCTGATGGAAGATTTCACTGCCTCTTGCAGGTCAGTCCCTCCGTGTTACTGCTGTCTTCCCATGACTTCTCTTCTTTTGACTCTTGCAGAACCGAAATTTCACCCCGGCGTCAGAAATGGTCGGGCAAATGTTTGTAGGTTTAAATAGAGATTTCCCAGATAAGCCGTTCCTTTAGCCTTCTATGTGGGCAGAATAGTGGAGGTTAACTATACAAGCATTGGCTGTTCGAGTGGGTGAATGGGTATAGGGGTGGGTGTGAGGGGTTGGGCACTCGACTCCTTCCAGTAGTCATCAAGTTATCACATCACTTTCTCCGTGCAAAATCGCCAGAATGCGAATTAAGGTTGGAGGTCCAGAGAGTACAGGGTGAAGAGTGTTGGTGGCAATGCAGGCGAACAAATTAGTAACAATCTCTCCTTATGTGGAAATCCAATGTGGCACACAAGCATGGAGACCTCTCTCCTCTCTTCTACATCCAAATATGCCTCGCCTCGGCTCGACATGAGGGATAATCTTTTCAGAATAACTCCCACATTTAGGAGAGTAATGAAGACAAAGTCATCTCCGCTAGTCGATTGCTCTCTCACTCCGCCAATTATCTTTATCAATTTACAATGTTACCCTTCATTAAGGGAAGATGTCTCCACCACAGGGAGTGCTCCTCACTCGAGTCTCCATCCCTCTTCCCCACTTCCTGCAACTTCACTTGCATTGCAAATGATGCAGTGGGAAAAGATGGCTAGTTGGCATGCAGCAATTGTATCGGCAAGGGCAACTTGTACCCCATGATAAATAAAACCGACAGATTATGAAATTGTCCATGCTTTTAAACAAAACAGCGCCTGTGGTTATGGCTGCATTTGGCACTAAGCCGAAACACAATCTTTGCTAGTGGCTCAGCCCTACAGCGCATGGAGGTAAAAGGAACCGGCGCAACCTAGGTTCTGCTGTTATAGCCAGCTGTGAGATTTGCACCCACGTGAAAGCTTCCATGATCCAATCTGGCCATTGTTGTGGCAAATAAGCGCAAAATGTAATGCTTGCAGCCTCACTTGCATGGTTTTGATTGTCTTGCCTAACTACTCCTTCCAGATTGGCAATGCATGTGGCATAGAAATAGGCACTAGCATATTCCACAATTAAAATCATCTGTTTCAATACAAGTATGTTTGAGTGGGGCGTTTGGATTACAAACGAAAAAAGTAGGTCCTCCTTGTGACTACGAAGGCGTCACGACTATCGATAAGGGGAACAATTACCACCAATTTCCATCAATTTCCATCAATATAACAATATGAAATCCTAAGTAACCCTAGCTCATAATGGCCTTGACCATCAAACGGTAGGAAAAATGACTAAAATCGGGTAGAGAAATACGACATGAGACCTTCGAATGAGGTTCTTCTTGTCACTTTCTGGCCACATTTGGACGACGAAAATGATATTTTGGCAAACGGACCATTTTGTGGTGCTTAAGCAAATTTCTCGTGACTAAGTTGACAGAGGAGGAGGTGGAGGAACAGAGAGGAGCATTTCTGGGTCGGAGGAAGTTTAATGTTCATGTGGATACACCAAATTGATGTCTTTCAATTTATGTCCATGTTCATGAAA